TACCCTTAGAAATATTTAGAATTCAAAGTTCGTATTTTGAGTAGTCTCTGAAAACCATTTTCTTCCAATTTCACGTTTTTAGTTCCACTAGGCCTTGTTTTTAAAAATGCTAGAATTAATACAATTCTCGAAAATAATATTCTACAAAAAATCTAAATTCCTTGAAGGGTTCCTTCTACTTGACATCATGTGTTAACTCAATTTTACCCAAAATTTTATTCTGTGTTATGAATTGCATGCTCACCAAAAAGTTAATTACATTTCAATGTAATTTTATATTCGCCGTGGCATTTTGCTTTAGCCGGAATAGACGGATTTGTATTTCAGGGCGGAATTGCATGGAAACTCGGCGCAGAATTCAATTTTCAATTGCATTTTCAACGGCATCATTTAATGTAACCACAAAATGAACACCAATACTATTTAGTGGCTAAAATTTGTTGGCTTGAATTATACCCAGCACCTCATCTCCCTCCCCCGAGAGAGAGAGGGTATGTTGCACCCTTCTTCCATTCGTGTGTATGTGTGTCTGTTTCATTGAAATCTATAACCAATGTTTATTAAACTCAAATGCTTTTCAATTCATACCGAGTTCATATGTAATCAAAGTGAGTATAGATGCTATTTCAGGAATTCATTATAGGTATGAATGAACCGACCGCATCGAGTATGTTAGATATTCAAAATATGTACGCGTGAACGTGAATGCACGCACACACACACTCACGCACTCACCTATATTTAAAATGGGGGTTTGGCCTCCTATTCATGCATCCATCCATCCGCCTATTGGGGAATGTGCAAGGGAACGTGTTCTGTGCATGAATATTGTATATTGCTGGCTCTGGTGGTTTTCGATAGTTCCAAGTACATTAAAACACAGTTAGAAGTGTTGCATTGTGCGCTGAGGTGTACGGTTGTGTGTTTGGACATTCCACAATAATTACTTTGGAAATTGTTGCAATTACCGCGACTGAGTGTGTGCGTGTGTGTGTTATTCAATCAACTCACTTGTGTCCGCTGATAGTGGACAAATAGGGTTTTATGATTTTTTTTTATTTAGATAAAGAAAATGGGAAATAATTTATTGATCAGACCGATTTCAGACATGTATATATGTATATTTTTTTTGTGATAATATCAGAGTTGGTGTTTTATTATACCCTCCACCATACTATGGAGGATATATTAAATTTGTCATTCCGTTTGTAACTCCTCAAAATATCCGCCTCTTTGTCTCTTGTAATCAAATTAAGATAGAAGGCTGTAATTTTGCACACATTTTTTCCCAGTAGACAGGTTAAGCTTGTAAATGGGACATATTTTCATATATCCTCCATATAACGGTACCTCTTAATATTTTGATGATTTTAGCTATATTTTGTACCGGAATTATTTCATATATCGTATTTAAAGTTCGTAATAGATTCTATAGCCTATGACAAAAAATCGCGTATGCATATTCTCGTCTTCGTTAATGATACCTCCCTATATTCGGTTTTTGATGGAATTGTTTAAAAATTCGTGCTTTAACTTCATAATCGGTGCTACAGCCTATAACAGAAATTACTTATGAAGGACCACGACTTCGTACAGCCCCAATTTAAGGGCTTTAATTTAAGAGGTATTTTTGTACGCTTTTTATATTTTTCAAGTTCATTCAAAATGTTGGAAGGTATTGAAAGTTCGACCCGTCCAACTTAACTGATTTTTACTTGTTTAAAGTAGCGACATGAACTATTATATCAATGTATAATTTTGGATATTAGGAAAGAACTAATATTGAGTTCGTGCTCCATAAAAACTTAATTTAAGACTCGTGATTTTAAAGGGTGGGGTAGGAATTAAAAATTTAATATATCTTCACCTAAAAAGACAATCTAAGCTACAAACAATCCAAACTGGGATTCTTTTTAGGAATAAACGCCCTCTTTTAGTTATCTTTTTTGATATGTATGGAACTATATCCAATTCTTGGCTTAGTTCTCGATAAAATTTGGCTAAGGTACTTCCGAGCTTTATAAGATATGTGGTACCAAATATCATTGTTGCCGAATGCACATTACGAATGTGAGGAACTAAAGCACCAAATCGAAAAAACATATATATGGGAGCTATATCTGAACCGATATTTTCCAAATTTGATTTAATTGCTTCTAGACTGAATTCAGTGGGATAATTCAGGACTTTTTGACAGATACCGGCTATTTGGTGCACAATTAACCCGAAATCGGTTGAAGATATATGTATGGGATCTATATCCAAATCTGAACCGATCTTGATAAAATTTGGCAGAGGCATTTTTGGACTGTATCTGATAACTGGTACCAAATGTCATTGTTGCCGAATGCATATTACGAATGTGAGGGACATAAACACCAAATCAGATGAAACATATATATGGGAGCCATGGCTATATCTGAACCTAATTACACAAAATGTAATGTACTGGTTTCTAGGATAATTTAGTCATATTTGGGCTAATATAAGCCATTTGGTGCACAATAAACCTGATATCGAATCAAGATATAGATATGAGCTTTGTCCTAATCTGAGCCGATTTTTCTGGAGTGTATATTAAGCGTATATCTGAACCAAATTTGATTTACTTGCTTCTAGACTGAATTAGGTGGGATATACCAAAATTCAGGTCATTTGGTCTCATATTGGCCATTTAGTGCACAATTAACCCGATATCGGTTGAAAAAATATGGAAGCTATATCTAACCCAATTTCTTTAGGGTTCGTCCTTAGGCCAAACAAATATTGTATGCAAAATTTCATCTCTATCGGATAATAAATGAGTTCTGCGGACCGACGGACTGGCATCCATAAATCGTCTCAGAAAGTGATTCCATGAACATCCTCAAAAGTAACTGCGGGCCAATCTCGCTTCCATCTCCCTGTTACAAACAAATTTTCCAAAACATAATACCCTTAGAACTATGTGTTGTAGGGTGTAAAAATCGCAAGCGAAAAAAACGTGAAAAAAATGAAAAAAAAAAAAATCACAAAATACTACAGATTCTATGTTAGCTTCATTGCAACCCCTAAATATTATGCGATCATCTCCAATAGGCTTCTCTTCTGCCCATAACTCCACCCCCGTGCAAAATTTCATGAGGATCGGGCCATAATTGCGACCTGTAGAGTGATTACAAATTAACATGGAAAGACAGACGGACGGACATACATAGCTAGATCGACTCAGCTCGTCGAGATAGGAAGATCCATATTCACTATGTGGTAAACCAATATTTCGAGGTGTTACATAATTTTTGGCCCAATCAAACTTATAATACCCCCAACACATAGCGTGGTAGGGTATAAAAACGCTCAGGATTCATGTTTTCGGAGAAATTAAAATCAGATAAACTAATCGATAGTACAGGTAATATTGCCACTTCATAAAGTAACTATCGAAAATTCCGGATTGGGTAACCTTACATAGTTTGAGATATACTTTTAATATTTTTTTTATACCATACACCATATATAGTATAGAGGGTATATTAGGTTCGTCATTCAGTTTGTAACTCATCGAAATAATAATTTTAGACCTTACATAGTATATATATTTTTGATCTGCGTAAAATTCTAAGGTGATTTAGCCCAATCCGACTGTCCATCGGTTCGCTTGTATTAATCACGATAGAGTCAAATGGAATTAAGATAGAAAACTAAAATTTTGTACAGATCAATCTTTTGTCCGCAGGCAGATCAAGTTCGAAGATGGGCTATATTGGTCCACGATATTGTATATATCCCATATAACGGTACCCCCCGATATTCGGTATTTTTGTGATTTTAGCCAAAATCCACGCAAGGAGTTTCTTATTAGTACTTTACCTCCAGGAAGAGAAATGTTTTCATAGGTCCACGATATCGTATATCCCACATACAATGGTACTCCGCCGATATTCGGTATTTTTACGATTTTAGCGTCATTTTTGACCGGAATTGTCTCAGGTTTCGTATTTAATGTTTGAAGCTCGTAATGAGTACTACAATCTATGATGGAAATTGTCTATGCAGGTCCGATATCGTGGACCTAATATAATGATACCTCGCTTTTATACAGTATTCTGATGATATTAGCACATTATTCACTGAAATTTTTTCAAATTTGGTGATATTAGCTACATTATTCAACAGAATCGTTTTAAATTTCGTATCTGAAGTTCGAAATTGTTACTACAGCCTATGAAAAAATTACTTATGCAGGTCCAGGTCTTCGTATAGCCCCCATATAAAGGTTTTCATTTAAGTAGTATTTTTCGAAGATTTTTTTTTAATTTTTTTTAAGATCCTTCAAAATGGTAAAGGGTATTAAATGTTCCACCTGGCCGAACTTAGCTTCTTTATTGTTTATAAACCAAAAATAGAAACTACAGGTTTGGACAATAATCGATGCTTTGCCAGCCTTTTGATGGTCTAATATAACCCTCTTCACTTCTTCGTACCTATAAATCCTCCTTCTATTGTAATTGTAAACAGCATCATTGTATTAATGTTAAATATTAATTCACTTCCACATCTAAGGCTACCCTTTAGAATTTTAATGAAACCGTGTCCACAACCCCCCATTAAACCTTTTCATTAATTACTTATCAATTCACATTTGTTCAACTGTCAATTTTTATTTATTTTCAAAATTTTTATATTAATTATGAAATACAGTTTGATTTCCTTTTCAAGTCTAACTAACTATCTACAAATATTAATTACATATTAATGCCATTGAAGGAATAACAACAACATAAATACCAGACACACACACACAACAATAATTATGGAGAACTTCAAACTCACATAAATGGACTTAACTGCAACTACTACTACTACGACCACTACTAATAGTAGTGGTCATCATAACACACACACACACACACACACACACATTTATCATTTGCTTTATGATCTTCACATCCACTTCCTTAGTTTGTCCATTACCGACTGCATTCATTTGACATCTACATTTCTTTCGTTTCTCGTTGCAGGTGAAACAACTCGGAAATAAATCAGTTTCCTGGATACGTGTTCGAGATGGCCACATACTTACTGTTGACAGGTAATTAAGAAATTGTTGATGACATTTTACCTTGTAATGTTGTTGTGCAAGCAATTGCTGTTGTTGTTGCAGGGATATTGTGGTACTCCATGCTTCAATAACAGGATGTGAGCGCATTACATGTTGCTGCACACATATATAGATATGTATGTAGTGACCATTCATAAAAGTAATGGTACCATGAATTATTTCACAATGATAAGATTATTAGGGATTTTAGTCGTACATTAACAATGCGTATGGACAATATATGTCATAAGGTGTAATTTGTAAGGTACATTTAGTTATGTATGAAATTTAGGGAAGAGAATCCCCAAAAATTGGGTCACTTCAATTAGAAGGCTTCACAGAAGAAGAAATCTGAATGGATATAATGCGTCCGAATCAGTATTGAATGTTAATTGGCATGCTATAAGAAAAAACTAGTAAGGAAAAGTCAAAAGTCGGGCGGTAACAAAAGAATTTATTTCAAGTAGATCAAACCACCTATCAACATTTGGCTTTAGAGCAGTTATAGTTTGCTATAGAGTGCATGATATCACTTGGAGAAGGATTCTATTAAAAAAAATATATGTCGGAGCCGAGTTGCACAAAATGGAAATGTGCCTCCTGAAATTCACTCCATTAGCCATTATTTGCACAATACACCTGAAATCGGATTAAGGCTATATGTGGGAGCTATATCCAAATCTTAGTCGTTCTCCGTAAAATTTGGTATTTCCGAGCTTTATAAGACATCTGGTACCAAATATCATTGTTGTCGAATGCATATTACGAGTGTGAAGGATTTAAAAAACTAAATCGAATGAAACATATATATGGGAGATATAGCTATATCTGAATCGATTTTCTCCGAATTCGATGTACTTACTTCTAGATTGATTTGGTCGGATGCACTAAAATTCATGACTTTTGGGCTGATATTGGTCATTTGGTGCAAAACTGAAGATATATACCTACCTATATCCGAATCCGAATCGATCTTGATAAAATTTGGCAGGTGTACTTCTGGGCTGTATCTGATAACTGGTACCAAATATCATTGTTCTCCAATGCATATTACGAATGTGAGGGACTTAAAGACCAAATCAAATGAAACATATATATGGGAGGTACAGCTATATCTGGACTGATTTCCACCAAATTTTAATGTACTTGCTTCTTGAATCAATTCGGGCAGAAATGCCAAAATTCAGGTCATTTGGACTGATATTGGCTATTTGCTGTACAATTTAACCCAAAAAAGGTTTAGGATATATATGGGAGCTATATCCAATTCTGAGTCGATTTTGACAAAATTTGATAAACCAATTATTGTTGTTGTGGAATGCATATTTCGCTGGTGAGGGACCTAAACACCAACTCGGACGAAACATGCAAGGCGAGATAAAAAACTGCAGCAAAGTCAAACCCCATATATTTACATTTTTTTTTTTTTTTTAATTTAATGAATGAAAGCCAAAAATTGCGGAAATAGCATCAAATTTTAGAATAAGTTTAGATTTGTTCGAATTGATCACCTTTGGCACGAATTATGGCCTTCAAATGCCAATGAAACCGACACACGATGTCCGAATGTTGTTTTGCGATATTTTGGCCCATTCCAGGAGAAGCGTTTGCTTGATATTTTTTAGTGCCAACCTTGCTTTCCAAAATACTGCAGACACAAAAGTCCAAAGAATTGGTATGAGGAGATTTTGGTGGCCTTTATGCACTGGAAATTAAGCGAGGAACCTCATTTTGTAACCATTATTGGTTGGAGTGCTGAGTACGATGGTGAGTCTGATGGCTGAGTCCTGTTGGAATGTCCAAGGTCTGCGGCTAAAATGTTTGCGTGCCCAAAGCTTTAATACACCCTTCAGAATGTTTTCGCAATAATATTCGGCATTTATTCTGATGCCACGGTCGGCTGCTATGGCGGCCCACACTATCACCATGGACGGCGCTTGAGTTCTGGTGGCCCACCGAAGGTGCACATTTTCAGCTGACCACTTTGTCAAGTAAACACGATCATTTTGTTTGTTTACAAAGAGCTGGACAACAAATGTTTTCCCATCGGAGAAAACCAAATTCGGCAGTTCATCACTTTCGACCATGCGAAGCAACTCTTTAGCTCTTTGGAGTCTTTTTTCTCTCTTTTACGGTGTAAGTTCTTGCACTTTTTGGAATTTCAATGGCTTTACCCCGAGCTCATTTTTCAATATTTGCCGAATGGAATTTTGCGATATGTTCAGTTCACAAGCCATTTTTTGTCACTGCGAGGTGGGTTTCGATCAAGTCGCTACTTTGCTTTTCGAACCATTTCTGTTGATGTCGCTGTTTTCTTCCGACCACTTCCTTGACATCGGGCTAAGCTACCAGTATCACGGTAACGAGCGATGGTGCAAGACGTATATATGGGATGGGCTATATCTGAACCAATTTTCACCAAAATATGAAGTATTTGTTTCTAGACTGAATTCAGTTGGAAGTGCCAAGCTTCAGTCCATTTGACTGATATAAACCATATATATATTGGAGATATATCCATATCTACACCAATCTTGACAACATTTAAACAACTCATTTCTGCGCTGTATCTGATATCTGGTACCACATAACATTATAACATATGGGAGCTAGAACTATAGATTAACCGATATTCACCAATTTTGATGTACTTGCTTCGAAAATGAATTAGGTCCGATGTGCCAAAATTCAGATCATTTGGACTGATGTTGGCCATTTATGCACAATTATCCTGGGATAAGTTGAAGACATATATATGAGAGCTATATCTAAATTTGAATCGATTCTCACCAATTTAAATGGGGTTCGTCGTTGGGTCAAACAATTATTGTTTGGAAAATTTCATCTCAATAGGATAATAAATGCGTCTTGCATTTTGTTCACAAATATACATGGAGAGTCGGATGGACAGATGGACCTACATGATTAAAATCGACTCGGAAATCGATTCTAGAAAGATCCCCAAAATTAACTATAGGTCTATCTCGTTTCCTTCTCCATGTTACAAACAAATGTCCAAAGACAAAATACCCTTACCACCATCTTGTGTGAGGTATAACAAGTTAAAAAGCAGTAAGTTCGACTGGGCCGAACTTTGAACGTTTAGAACTAATTTGGAAATTTTCAAAAAATAAAATCCTTAGAAAATTCTGTTAAAATTTTAAAAATACCGAATATAGCCGTTGTTGGGGTCTATACGACTTGAAATAAACGGTGAATAATGTAGCTAAACTCATCAAAATACCGAATGAAGGGAGGTACCGTTATATCGAAGCTGTGAGAAGACCTGGACCAGCATAGACAATTTTATGTCACAGGCTGCAGCATCCATTACGAATTTTAAATACATCATCTCAACAAATTTCTGTGAGTATTGTACCTAAACTCGTCAAAATACCGAATAAAGGGAGGTACGTGGACCTTCATGGCCCATTTACGAACTTAACCTGCCTACTGGAAGAATAAATATGTGTGCAAAATTTTAGCCTTCTATCTCAATTCGATCGAAAGATAGCGTGATTACAACAGACAGACAAACGGACAGACAGACCGACATCGCTAACTCTAAATACGTAATTTGAAACAATTCCGGTGAATAATGACGCTAAAATCATTTAAATAACGAATATCGGGAAGTACCGTTAAAGGGGGGCTTTATGAAAACGTGGACACTGATCAAGAATATATATACTTTGTTGGGTCTGTCATGAGTATTTCGAGGAGTTACAAACGGAATGACAAAGTTAATATACCCTCCATAGTATGGTGGAGGATATAAAATATGCTGGTGCGGTAAAAATGAATAACAATTTTTGCCGTCACAATTGTTATGATCTCTACTTCACATAAATTCCCAATATAAATGTTCATTTTTTACGAGTAGCTCTACTATATGTGTATAATTGTGTAGGGTATCATACAGTCAGTTTCAGCCGACTTTTAACATTTCTTTAGTGGTTTATATTTCATTATTTTTATTACGTATTTTTTATGATAGTCTATTTTGAATTGCCATTTTTTGTATTACTTCAAAATTCCAATAAAATTGATTATTCCTTGACCTAACTTAAAGCCCAGCATTTTTTTTTTTTTTTTTTTCAAAATCTCTTCAAATGAAATATTCTAAACTTTTATTCAATTTGACCAACTGTTGAGATAAATTCAATATCGATGGGTCAAATGCAAGTGTAAATACACACGCATACTTTAAAAGCAAGATCTCTCTCGCTCTCTTCTACACACCCACTCCTACTCTCACAACTATTAACATTTTAAATTTACCCCGTAAATAACTTTGACAAATGAAATGTAATGTAAACAAAATGTGCAGGTAAACACCTTCTATTCCATTTACGGCCACTGAATTGCCAGTGAAGGAATGACAACAAAAAGAAGAAGTGGAAGTGTCTTCTACTGCAATCCTGCTCCCAGGGATTTCTCGTTCTCTCGTTCTCGTTCTCTTTGAAAGACAGCCATGCATCCATTGCATTTATTTATTTGCCTCAATATACAAAAACACTTAGACACATAATCTAAGCAATCAATTTCTATTACGTTTACTTAGGTATTTTTTCTTGGCATTTTCCTTAGTTTTCCTTTTGCGCTGCAACGTTCAAAGAATAAAGTTTATTTTTCTTGAATGCATTGCGACAGCATCCGGAAGTTTTTCAGCAACAAAAAAAAAAAGGAATGAAAAAAAAAAGGACTTGAAGCCGGGTGTTGTGCTCTCACACATTTGCCATATAATGTGCTTCAGTTTTCTTGTTTTTTCTCCTGGAGAATGGTGTTGAAAGAAACTGATTGTTGAGTTTTGTTTGGCCAAAGAAGTGCAGGGGAGTTGGGTGCTATGGTTTTATAGAGACAAAGGAAAGAATGGCAAAAGAGTCGAGTCGAGCCGGTAAAGTTTCAAGATAAATGTGACACAAGACATTACAGCTGCTGCTACTTCGACTGATTCTCATGTGAATGTTGACGATGATGATGATGCTACT